GTAAACGACGAGATTCTTTGGAAATTACGAGGCCGATGTCCGTTCCAGTACCTAGAGCAATTAATATAGGTACATGGAATGTCTGCACAAGGTGGAGAGACCGTAAGGAATAGTCAAATAGTTGGATTGCTTCGAATCACTATCTAACAATTGCGAAGATGAGACTGAAGCTAAAGAAACACTGGACAACTGGAGAAACAGCAGAACAAAGGATCAGTACAGCCTTCCCACGAGATACTAACAAACTCGACGAATTCAAAATAGTTCTGAAGAGCAGGTTCCAAGACTTCTAAGTTCTACTGAAAGAAGAAGAAACTACAATGGAGGACACCTGGAAATGGATCAATGAAGCACTAACTTCAACGTGACAGGTGCTGGGACTCAAGAAGCATCATCATAAGGAACGGATCTCCATGCAAACCATAAATAACATTCACGAAAGGAAGAACACGTAGATTGCAACTAACAACGGGCGAATAATAACAAAGGAAGTCAGGGCTCAAGCTGAACACATTGAAGCAAACAAGCAAGTGAAGAAGAGCATTAGAGCTGACAAGCAGAAATACACGGAAGACCTAAGAACGACACTGGTAAAAGCTGAAGCAGAAAGAAATTACGAGACAACTATATGACATGACGAGGAAACTGATAGGGAAATATGGTAAACCAGAAAGACCAATCGAGGACAAACAAGGCAAGTCATTCTCCGAGATTCAGAAAGTGAGGAACAGATAGATGGAATACTTCTTGGAACTCTTGAGTAGGCCAGTTCCACTGAACTCACCAGATATCAAAAAAGCACCTACAGACCTTCCTATAGATGTCACTCCACTAATAATATAAAAAATAAGGATGATTATCAGACAAATCAAGAGTAGGAAAGCAATAGGACCTGACAATATACCTGCTGAAACACTTAAGTCAGACATAGAAGTAACTGCAAACATGCTCTACATTCTATCCAGTGAGATTCAGGAGGACGGATAAGTGCCGACGGACGGAAAAAAGGACACCTCACTAAGACACCAATGAAAATATATCTGAGTTAATGTTAGAACTACAGAAGCATCAGACTAATGTCAGTAGCAGTAAAATTTTTCAACAGAATGTTGCTGGACGGGATGAAAGGCGCAGTAGACGCCCAACTTCGAGACCAAAAGGCTGGATTCCGTAAGGATCGGTCGTGTACAGACCGAATTGCGACAATACATATAATGGTTGAGCAACAAGTTGAATGAAACTCGTCACTATTATCAACGCCATTGACTATGAGAAGACGTTTGACAGTGTGGATCGGATGATATTATGAAACCACCTTTGACACTAAGGTCTACCTTGGAAGATGGTTAACATCATCCGGAATTTATACGACAGACTGCAGCGCAAAGTGGCGGATGAAGGACAGCTGACAGACGCATTTCAAGTAGGGACCGGAGTCAGACAAGACTGCTTAATCTCTACTTCTCTCTTTCTTCTGGTGATTGACTAGATTATGGAGACCCCCACATCTCCAGGGAAGCACGAAATACAATTGACAGATGGGATGCGTCTAGACGGCTCGGACTTCTTAGATTACCACGAAATAGTACATATAAAGGCAACAAGTGTAGCAGCAGCCTCTGCATCAGTAAGCCTCAACAAACACAAGGGCAAAAGCAAGATCCTCAAAACAACATGGATAACACTAACCCAATCACACTTGATGGAGAAACGCTGAAAGATTTGAAAACCTTCATGTACCTGGGTAGTATCATCGATGAACATGGAGGATGTGATGCAGACGTAAAGGAGAGGATTGCAAAGCAAGAACAGCACTTCTACAATTGAAGAACATATGGAACTCAGAACAACTGTCAACCAATATCAGAATCTTCAATAAAAATATCAAGATATTCCTCTTATACGGAACTGAAACATGGACAACTACCACAACCATCATCAAAAAGGTACAAGTATTTATAAACGAATGTCCACTCAAGGTACTGAATACTCGTTGGCCGAACATCACTAGCAACAGCCCACTGTAGGAGAGAACGTACTAAATTCCATTTGAAGAGAAAATTAGGAAAAGACACTGGGAGTGGATACGACGTACATTAGGGAAATCATTAGACTGCATCACGAGCTAAGAGCTAACTTGGAATCCCGAATGGAAACGGAAAAGACGAATGCCGAAGAGCACACTGGATAGAGGATTGCAAGCAAACATGAAAAGGATGAACAGCAACTGGAAAGTATTGCCCAAGACAGAGTTGGATGTAGAATGCTGGTGAGCGGCCTATGCTCCTTCATGAGGGGTAATTGACGTAAGTATGGCTAGAATGGTGAATCTATTGGTGATCCGCCGCAGATTTTTGACCGAGCGCCTTCAGCTGGAGTGTATCCAGTGAAACTACTGAGTTAAGTATCACTGTCGAATTCACAGAGGACTATTAGTTTGGAGAATTTAATTATCACACTGTTATGACTTGATTTAAACATCCTGATTTGTCTTTGACAGTTTCGGTCAATTTGTTCAAAAAATGAAAGGTTTGTGATAAGTTGCCATTTAAAAACTGAAGTACAATAAGGCCATTGCATCACAAATACATTGTTTGTTGTAGTCACAAAATCTAATAATAAATTATAGAATTTAACTAAGAACTGTAGTTTTTGCTGTCTTGTCGATGAATTACTTCGTTAGTATTGTGGTAAGACATATAATTTCTCATTGGCTTCCGATAACGCGGCACTCAAATGTTCAACTGGACAGACATATGACGCGGCAAAATATAACCACCATAGATTTATAGTTAGTTGTCAGATAGTAACAACTTTGGACATCATGAACAAATGTTCATCGATATCAGACCAGTTAATGATACGAAACTATTTAGATTATTGCTGTGCTGCTTAGGGTTGCATCAGTGATAGTAGAATTGTGTAGATGAAAAATGATTTTTGGAGAAAAAATCCGTACGGTAAATAACGAAATGATTTTAGAGATCAATATTCAAATATGACGAATTTATCTAAGACTGACGTTAAGCCAGAATATTTAACATTTTCAACCATATTGTCAATCACGCTGGAAAAAAAAGACGGGTAAACTGTGTCAACCATAATATCAATTTCGGTAGCTAATTTCATGAACAGATAACATTCCTCAGTATGACTACCCCTAGCCTTCTGACTACTTTAATGATGAAGTCTCAAATTTAAATGAACGCTTCGAGTGGCAGTATGAACCCTACATAGCCACTGCACTCTTTCCCATCTCACAATACTTGTGATCAGAAATATACAGCCTACCCACGTTCCCTACTTATACATACCATATTATACGACTATAGGGTAGTAAAGAGTCCATCGCCGCTCTGCAAATTCCGGTTTTAGTGGGTAGATATCCTGTCTAGGATAAAACTGGGCGAACTCCAAATAGACTTTCACAATTTATATAGAGATCTCGTCTGAGCTGGCGGATGTTACAAGCTAGTCTAAGCGACCACCACCCACAATGGCATCATCTCATATAACCACTTCAGACTTTTACACAAAAGTTACGAGGTGGCATTTTGGATTCGGAGAAAGAGAATTACACCAAAAACATTTTCGCATCATTAATAAATGCTTCCAATAGAGCGTGCTTACTACTAGATCTTGTAATAAACCCACTCAAATATTGTATTATCTGTCTGCTCACTGTAATTTAGACACTTAATCCACTATGTAAATTTCTGTGTCTGATTGAGGGCATATCTGCACATCAATCTATCCTCCCATTGGTTATAACACACAGACAATCAATAACTTATCCACAACCAATTAACACTCATAAATATACATGGATTCCTAACACTTACACATACTTACTTGTTTTCCTGTGTGCTTGCGGATTTTAACAATCCTCAAAAATAAACTTTCTTTATAACTGGTGTCCAGGCTTTTAAATAATATCGAGTAAATACATAATTCTACTAGGAGATTTAGCCTGCGTTAAATACTCAGTTAACGGGATACTATTTATTGGAGCCAGATATAGAGGAAATTAGCCTCTATGATCTCCTTTCAGATACTAGGGTGAGTTTCTAGGATGGAGAATCACTAAGAATCTAGATGCAGAGACGCCTGCGGTCATAGAAATAGAACAGTACTTATGGTAGTTAGCCATAAATAGACCTACTTATTAGTGTTTGACTGAAGAACCGTCACAATTCTCGTTGTATCAAAAGTCGTTCACGGAACAAAGTTTTGCCTGTGGAATAGGTGTAGCCTTGCTAAACATAACTGATAACTTGACAGCAAGCGTGGAAATTATTTCGTTGGACAGAACTAAGTCCTACATTCTAAAACGAAAAACTAAGAATTCTCCAGACGGTTTGAAAAAGCCTTCCACATGGAGATCTTGAGTATTACGTGGTCACATTTCTATAATAAAGCAGCAAGTAGTCTTAAAACTTGTTTTACAGTACATTTCAAAATACTTTTCAGTATGATCTTCCGCAATACCTAATAAGATTCGCTCAACTAATTGCAAAAGGGGTCACTTTCGAAATGGTTAATTTATGCACGAAAGAGAGGTTGGAAAGTTGATATATCCGGTCAGTTCTTATCAAACAACGCAGTCATACTGAAAAAATGCTTTCGAAATTGATGACAAGCAGAAAGCTTGATAATCCGAAAATTAAGACGAACTTAACTATGCCGCATGACAAAAACAGGAAAAGAAAAATCGTTTGTAATCATGGTGAAAATTTTTACTTCAGAATATGTAGCCAAACCTTTATTTCGGAGACAAGTCATAGTGAACAAAGTAAAAGCGTTGGAAATAAGGTAGTAAATCCATTTGAAATTTTTAGTTGTCTATGTAAATACACTGGATTGATTTACTTGCTAAAGTAGCAAGTAATTTTAGGACGAAAAGCACTCAACGACGTCGCCAAATAGATACAACTTTGAATGATTAGATGGAAGCACAGAGAAAAGTGAACTGCATATTACACATGCATAAATACATAGAACTAAGCAACTGAATCACAGGTTAAGGAGTTACCACGTATACACGCTGCTTTCCAAACTGCAAGTGACGCCGCTTCTTCTAAGCTATTGACGGCAATCAACTCCAAACCGCTGTTAGAAATAAGGGATTGAGCTTCGACAGCATTGTTACCCTGAAGCCTAACAACAACCGGTATATTAACAATACCATTCTTTAGAGCTGATATAAGACCTTCAGCAATTATTTTGCAGTTAACGATCCCACCAAATATATTCACCAGAATGCAATCAACTCGGGAGTCTCCTACAGAGGGGGAAATCGGATGAAAAATTCACTACAATAGAAAACAATTTGACATAAAATTTGAACTCGACCTGTTTTTTTAAAAAGTACATTAGATAAACCAAACAAACCCTAAATAACATAGAATTTTATTGACCAATTCTATTAGGCATGCAAACTTAAAATGAAGAATTCCAATATAATTCATGGAGGAACATTTGTCTAAATATTAGGAAACATTAGATATAAAAAACTCAAAGAAATCTATGTACTTCAAGTTGCAAAACATCCAGATAATGACTATGCATATAAAAGAAATCCTAAGTAAACAGTGTGATCTGACGAATCTATAGGAATGAAGTGGTAGGAAGTGTCATAAACAATCGAAGCAAAAAATTGGTGTTTACTAAATAACGTGTAAAACGAAACAAGTAGTGAAAAAGTACGACAATCAATAGAAGAGAACGATGTCAGTTAATCACATAGAATGTTAAAATAAGAAGATAAGATAATGGTTACAACAAGTCCATAAATTGTTTTGCACACTATAAGTTTAGATATGAATAGTAAGTATTATAACTTTATGCGAATATTCCTCAATACTCGGACGAATAGTCCGACAAAAATTGGGCGCCGAGTATAGAGAAGTCATATGTGAAAATCATATTTGAAATAATCTTAGCGATTGAAATTTAAGTAATTCCAACGTTTAGTACAGAAAAATTGTCTGGACTTCCTCAGGGTAGTCAGAAATTTAAATACAAAAAATTAAAGGTGTATACCTTAGAAGACTAAAAAATCGTTGATCATTACATTTACAACAGAAATAAGTTATTCTTCAAAGTATTTGAAAGTATAATTTTCATCCACATTTTTTCTTGTCCTAAAATACTTGTACGAGACAAAATATTTTTATGATTTATATATCAAATGCCACACTTAAGTTAAAATTGGCAACAACCTGTCATCTATTTCGAAAAATAAAAACAAAGGATATCAACGGGATTTTAACAATAACATGTCCGAACCACATTCCAACATACAATCTCATCAACTAAGATATGCCAATGGACTTCATGAGCTTGTAAAACAATTTACTATCTGTTATAGGGATTTTAATGATAATTTTTTGAGACTGAGGGGAATATACTTCACTTAAGAAGTCCTGAATCAAAGATTGTTATGCATATGTCATGAAAATAAAGGTTGATAGTACGTCTAAACTACAAGATTAAAGAGAGCAAATAAGTAAAACTTGTGTTATGGTCCATTAGAGTAGCATAACTCTTACTGAAGCATCTACATTGCACTACTTAATTGATAGTACCAGAGTAACGATCGTCCATAAATGAGATTAATAAAAAGAACAAAATGAAGTACCGTCAATTTACTTACTGGCAAGTATGTGGAATGCTTTTTCAACTTGAGACATGGTGACACTTCCCCCCAGATCAAGAAAATTAGCAGGTCTACCATGATGATAATGAATCAAATCCATAGTAGCCATAGCCAATCCAGCTCCATTTACAATACAACCAATATTCCCATCGTCTAAACCAATATAGTTTAAGCCATTGTGTGTAGCATCAGCTTCTAAGGCTGCTGCACTCTTCGGACCAGAAGCAGCCACTTCAACAGCTTCAACTTCCAAGGCCATTTTATGAACTTCTGGTTGACGGTATATTGCATTCTGGTCGAAAGCTAATTTAGCATCAAAACATACAATCTGACCATCCTTTGTCTCACCAAAAGGATTAACTTCAACCTGTTAAAAAAACAGAACTTGTAAAACAAAAAGTTTCATCTAGACTAGTTTAACAGTTCCTACATAATTTGAAAACAATTTTCCATGAAATGAATTTTAATTAATCTAGAACAATCGTAAAAATGAGTAGCGGTTTGAAAACCTACTCATTAGCTCAAAATAACTAAAGCTAAACAGTAGAATATCAACTGGATTGCTGTTAAGATCGCATTATTTGGTTTATAAAATGCAAACAGTGTAGATCACTATGAAATTAAGTTAGTTATCACTCACTTTATGGCAGTGAAACATGACCGGTAAGAGTAGAGGATATTCGTAGGGTACTAGTATTCGATCATAGGTGTCTTCGAAACATTGCTCGTATATCATGGGACCATCGAGTAAGTAACACAGTTGTTAAAAAACGGGTACTAGGTAAGGATGGCAAATCAATTGATGAAGTAGTGAAACTTCATCAGTTGAGATGGCTGGGACACGTGTTACGTATGCCCAACGACCGACTACCTCGACGTGCTATGTTCAGTGGTATAGGAGTAGATTGGAGGAAAGCTAGAGGCTGCCAAACCAAAACATGGCACAAGTCCATGAAGTCACTGACAAGTGGACTGAGCCATGTCGGTAGGTGTAGACTACCTGGTTGGCGACCACGAGATGATAGCAACCGATGATTAGAGACCCTGAATGACATGGTTCAAAATCGTTTGCAATGGCGCAGGTGCATCCACTCTTTGTGTTCTCCCAAATTCTAATCTTCTGAATTCTTCATGTCCCTTTTTTCCTCTTTCCAAATTCGTTTCACTGGATTATACTCTTTAAATAACATCTCCAAACCCTAATCTTCCCGATAACTGCTTATACTCTTGCTACCTCTACCACTACGGGATTTGAATCGACCACTGCATCTCTGTGCTAAGGTGGTGTGGCAACTCGAACTGATGTACGTACGTACGAAGTTCTACGTTGTTACTGACTGACTGACTGAGTTATCACTCACCATTTAAATAGTCTGCAAATTCGAGTTTCTTCAAAAATATTTCTCAGAATATAAAATAGCAAATTGTGTGGTGAACAGTTAGGATACTAAGTTATAGCACCACAAGTCGTTCAACACTAAATTAAACAAATGACCTAACTCTTAAACTGATGGGTAATTTGCCAAACATTTGTAGTATAAGGATTATATAGTTAAACCGTTATTAATATGATAAAAGGTAGCTTGGTTTATTTTATTTTATTTTGAATGAGTTACATTGTCCTAGGTCTGAACACCTAGGGCATGAACAGTTTTATATTGACAGAGAACTGGATTCACGGACTTAACGTCTTATGATGAGCATACCTGCATTCTAGTCAATAGGTCTACATTCTATTATCTGAGCTGATATATAACATCGCGAATAACATCTAATGTGATCGCTGAACATTTTCATTTTAGGACTACAGATCGTGACACAAAATTCATGATGTAACCATAAGCAAAATATTAGTAGGCACCAGTGGTTTTTGGAGAACAGATCTGACAAGTTGTCAAAAGACTAAATACGATTAACTAGTTTGAGTGTATACTAAAAGATTGGTCAGTCAGTTTTTAGTCTATCGGTACATCAAGACGCTTATCTCCATATGACTAACCTGAACACAATCTAAAGCTGTGAACATCTTGTAGAGTTTTTGAATTTGTTTGCAGGTTTGTTCATGCAATTGAGTATGTAAATTGAACCCCAGAGCCGTGGCGAATCTTGATGCTTGGTCCTCTACAAAATAGAAAGATTAATTGATTGGTTAAAAAGTGGACAGTGGTAGTATATATAATGTCTCCTAAAATTCTTACTAGGTACATTAATTTCACAGTACTCAAAATAGGCATCTAACTGATAGGAAATACATTTCCATGAGATCTGTACTTACCTCTAGCAAACATATTGACCACACACTTTATAATATATATATAACACTCGATAACTCAAAAATTCACTTTTGAAATAACACTTATGATAACATGAAATTTTACTTGAATAGTGAAGTAGACGAACTGTGAAGTTTGACTAGCAAATGAGCGAAAAAAAGTTGATAAGAACAATTTTGAAAATAACTGATTATAAATATTTATTACTGATAATTCCAATAAACTAACATTAAAAAGAAGCTATTCGCTTCATCATTGAGTTGCAGCTTCATATCATTAAAATGAAAATGTCTGTATGTTGCTTAAGAATATTCCACAAATATTAGTTGGATATTTTAGTGGATATATAAGAAGAAAAGTAATTTTTATATACTAACCAGTTACTCCGACAGTTATATCAATAGGTTCTTTGATAATCTCAGATGGACAACGTTTAGCTAATTCTTCAATATCCATCCCACCTTGGCTACATGCTACCATGATTGGGGAGTTAGATGTTCGATCCATTAAAATAGCAAAATATGTTTCGCGGTGAATATCAAGCGCCTCTGCTACCATGACCTGAAGAAATTCATAATAACATACTTGAGAAAAATAACTGCTAAGATAACTTATAAATAAGAAGGGATTTACTTGGGTTATAATAATAAATGAATATACTGACTTTTTTCACATTTATAATGAACCTTCATAATCAATATGTATATATTAAGAGACTTCTGGCATTTATGTTTTGTATTGACAAAAATTGATTGTGGTTGATATAGGTTGGTAGATGATATGAGGCTAACAAAATTATTTCAATCAAATAAAAATACTAAAAGGACGATTTTGAGTTTAGATAAAGAATTTAATGGCAGACATGTTAATTAAAGATTAGAGATCTATCATCATCGACTGAGATGGCTGGGCCACGTGTTGCGTATGCCTGAACACCGATTACCACGACGTGCAATGCTAACCGGTGTTGGAGATGGTTGGAAGAAAGTTGGGGGCACCAAACCAAAACGTGGCATCAGTGCTTGAAGCCACTAAATTCTGGTTTGAGCTATGTTGGTAGATGCAGGATACTTGGTTGGGGCTCGCGAGACTATCGTAACCAATGGTTGAAAACTCTGGGTGACATGGCTCAGAGTCGATCACAATGGCCTAGTTGTATACGCTCTCTTTCTTCCCCTAAACTACGAGATTAAAGTCGCTTTATATCTTTCTTTCTACGAACTAGATTTTTCTTCCTGTACTATATCCTTATAAGCAATCTTTCTCTCATATATTACCACCATTGAATTAACTACTTCTATGAATTCGGTGTTAATCATGATGTGCTAATCCGGTATGGCAACTTGGACCGATGCATATATATGCCTGGTCCTACGTTGTAGCTAACTGACTGTTAATGATAACCAAATTATGTTTTTATAGTTCTTAAATATATTAGCGGGCTACCTGGAACTTTTATACTGACCGAAATAAAAATTGACTGCTGAAATGGATAAAAAATAATCAGTCAACGAAGGGCTGTGCAGTTTATCAACGTTGTGAGGAAATGTATGACACCAGTGAATTCCGGCGGAAAATCTAGTGAGCAAGAACAAAGCCTGATATTCATGTAATCAGTCAGCTACAACGTAGGACCAGGCATACATGTGCATCGGTCCAGGTTGCCATGCCGCATCAGCACAACGAGATGAACACCGGATTCATAGGAGTGGTTAGGTCAAAGGTTGCAATAAGGATATAGTATAGGAAGGAAGAATTAGTTCGTAGAAAGAAAGATATGAAGTGATTTTAATCTCTTAGTTTAAGGGAAGACAAAGAGTGTATACACCGACGCCATTGTGATCGATTCTGAGCCATGTAATTTCACTGACAGATAGGTCAGCTGAAAAACTCATCATATACTCGATTAATTTCAAACGATATATAATCAAAATCCCTTCCGTACTAAAATTTCGTGTTATTTACTAAAAATAAAATTTATTTCGTTCAGTCATGTCAGACACCGATATCAGTTCACACAGAGCTTTGAGGCAATAATTAAGTTACACGAGCATGATCTGTTGATCGAGGGGTATCATTATATATCATCTACCAACCACTGTCTAATTTATAACTTTAACAAAAATATGGTCCTAAAACATATGATGCTTTCATCCATGAGAGTAAAATAAAGATGAAAATCGCTTATATAAAAGGAGTGGAAATACCTATACCATCAACTGATGTAATCGACGTTAAAATTTGTTGTATCATGAAGAAAAATTAGGCTGGATTTAAGTTAGCCTTACGGTAATTAATAATTACGAACAATCAAGATTGTTCCAATACAATCAAATCAATTCAGAACTCGAGGAGACAACAAGTACCATAAATAAATCCTCAACAATAAAAAACGATAGAATTCAAAAAGAAGGCATTATTGCAGAAGAAAAATTGATATTCAACTGAAATAACTCAAAGTTCAACAACTTTACAGACAGTAAATAAGAAAAACGTTCAGGCAGATAGATTATAAAAGTAACGGTCGCAACCAGCCAGAAAATACCAAAGGTCACACAAAAGTATCAGTACAAAATCAACTGTACTCTGATAATCATCACGAGCAAAAACTAACACTTAATCAAAAGACTGATAACGTGAGGCCTTATCAGCATAATCTATCAAAATACTCCATGAAAATTTCCATGGTTGACAAAGGTCTTAAAACTCCGTCTAAGAAATGCTAACTTATTCCGATAAAACTGTAGAACAATCTGTAATAGAAGTTTTAGCCCACGCAAAGTTGAAGTGACTCTGAACACTACAGATCCATTCACTGTAAGACTAGGAATGCTTGCAAAGCTTTGATAGGTAAATCTAGACATTCATGTGTAAGACAATTGGTTAGGGTATATGAAAATAGTCCGAAAAGGTTATCTTCATATATGAAGAGGTGAACTGGGAAGACATTATTATTATTATTATTATTATTATTATTATTATTATTATTATTATTATTATTATTATTATTATTCACAAACATCTTATGGGTACATAAGTGTTGTGAAGAAACCATTTTGTGTTTCTTCAAAAAATGCAATAATACACAATTTTCAATAATGTCAGCATGATACTTACCATTTTTAAAAAAATTAGAGCAATATTAGTAGAATATTAATAATAACAAATCGGGTCTGTGCAATTGAGAAGAATATTGAATTGAGTTTAAAGAAGGAAATGGAGAAAATAAGGGAATAGAAATAAAGGAGACGTGAAATACACAAACAGTCTAATAGGCGTGTTTATGAACACAGATGGAATTCCGCCAACTTTCTTACAACAAATTAGTTGGTATTGACAAGAAATGATGTTGCGAAACCTGAAGCTTTATCAGAATATTTCAGAAGAGTGTTTTCTCCCGACGGAAGCGAAAGTTCAACAATTAATCGTGGCGAAGGCAGTTGGTTAATGGATTGTTGCACTTATTGAGAAGGGAAGTATCTTACTAATAATTCAACATATCAAACCACATACGTTCAGTGCTACTGATAGTATTCATCCAAGGATTATGAAGGCTTTGGGGTGTAACTGTCGAGCCTCTAGCAATAATGTTGAACCTGTCGTAACGGCAGTTCAACTTGATAAGAGAATGGAGAGACGCAATAATCAGTTCGTTTTATGAAGCGATATTAATATTATTTAAACACTTAGACATAGGTGCAAGAAAGCACCAAATAGATATGCGCCACAAATCATTCGATTTGTGTGAGGGCTGGAATACTACTCAGGTGCTCAGACCGAAGCAGGTGGTTTTCTTAGGGGGACACACTCGGAGCCCTCGACCTATGAGTCTGATCCACAAGGCAGTAGAGCAACGTCAGGAGATGCGGTCCCATGGTAGCCACTGCCCAACGATTGGTTCGTGTGCCATTTGTTCCCTCAGGATACTGAAGCCCATATACACCATCGGTTTGGAATAAGGGTTTTTCAACTCCCCTAGGTGGATTCTCCATATCCACTAACCAGATTAAGACGTTGGACATTCGCTTTTCGTCCTATCAATTTCGTAAACAATACCCCCGCCGCAAGAAGGCGGTGAATAGGACTTCCCTGGCAGTGGTTGTATGCACGCGGCCGTATAAGAGCATTTAGAGAGGCAGAGCCAACTCTCCCTACTCTCGGCCGTACCAAGGTATTTGAGGGCTATAATGCAATAAATAAAGCATTACTTAGCAACAATCGACATGATAGTCCAGACAATAAAGTTGACAAGCTCATAGAAAAATTATACCGGTAGCTATATAAAAATACATGAAAGTGTTTAGTGCCTTTACGTAACTCTCGTGCTATTGATAGAAGAAACCAGACTAGTAGTGAATAGGTCTTTATTTAGATCTTCGCGCAGTCACAGTGGAGCGTGGGATTACCTGTTCAGACAAACAAAGTCTCTCGACATTCCACATAAGATAATAGGAAATATAACGCCCATACAAAATAAGGGAATGAATAAATACTTGAACTCTACTGTTTTGACATATGCTTAGTTGTTTGAGGTGAACTCTTAACCAACCAACTTAAGTTGTTACAAGTGCATTGCCTTACATCCAGCAATCAACTTGGTTCTAGGAAAAACTTATAATGTCTTATTGGTCTGTCGATTGAACAAAATGGATCTAGGAGTCACAACAAGCAAAAGCATCACAACTACTTGTAACTACAAGGTTGGTTGTCGCTGCCAAATGCTTCAGGGTCTTACGGGCTTTTCATAAGTCATTTCATTACTTGGACGAAATATCTGGTGTGTCATTCTTGACTTTTTTGAGACCGAATTTGGAATATGAAATTCAAGTAGAGAGTTGTTGCTTCAAGAATGAGGCGGATATGCTAGAGCGACTTCGACGGTTAGGGGCCAAAACGGCAAAATGTATCTCTAGCCTATCATATGAGGTCAGACCGAGACAACTCAACCTATTCCCGTTATCTTAACTCAGGTTATGTAGTGATCTAATTCTGGCATACTATACACTGAACGATAATCGTGACATTATTATGTCTTATCTTTTCCCTCCTTTAGGACTGATTATTCGAGAGGACATTCTAAGAAAGTCCAACAACCGAGATTAAGTCGTTCACGTCTTAAGTCTCCAATGAAATTCTGTACCAGAACATGTAGTATTAGAAACTGCTGTCAATACATTCTAATTGAAGTCGGACCTTTACAGTACTACGAATTGTAAGGAGTAATATAGGTCGGACGAACTCTTAACCTTACTACTGAAAACTGGAAATAACGTCAGTGGGTAAAAGTACTACAGATTCTTGAGCTGTAAAACTTTTGAGTTTACAAACCACGCAAAGTCTACGGAGTCAGAACAAGTAGGTATGAACATCTAAACCCTAATACTATCAAGAAACCAATGTAAGCAATTTTCACGCCACCGGTGTTACATTCAGTCTACTAGGCAACCCTTCATATGTTGTCAGGAAAAACCACAGTGGACCGAAAAAATCCGAATAAAACACACTGTCTAAACTTACTTGACTGACAAGAATACCCGAAGATGTCGTTTGCTTAGTGACAAGGTGGTTTCCAAGCATCTTCGACACTATGAGCGCCATTTCATTTGGATCCTGCGTAAGATGGACACCACCCTTAAACCCATCACGAAAAACACCCATTCCTCTACCACCTGCCGGTATCTGGGCTTTTATAACATATTCTTTGACCTGTAAGTATGTTATTTACAACATATAACAATCTACTCTGAAATTGTTTTTCGCCGTATCAACTTCACTAGGGTTTCTGACAAGCACGAACCTTTGCACGTTAATCCCATGATCTGACATCAACTTTTTGCACTGATATTCTTGAAGGTTTATAAAACGTTTCCATATTTTATTGACAAGGACACCACTGGAAAACACAGTTCCCAGTTTATTCATATTACGCACTGGTTGTGACCTTCAGCGTTCAATGTTTGAAATAGACTCAAAATGGTTCAAATGGTTGATGCGGTTGTCGACGGAATAGAAGAAACTTTCGCTTAACGAACTCCCATGTTTAATAGCAGTGGATCATCAATATCTTAAGGCAGCAACCTAGATATATTAACGATAACAGAGAAAAATTAATTTATAAATCATAGTAAGATATTACCCTTGGTCCTTAAGAATAGGCCAAGTTTCCTCTTAAAAGACTCCTGAGAAGTCGCCTGAACTGGCCTAGCCGGCAGTGAGCTCCAGTATTTGACAACTCTTAGAGATTAGACGTCGTGTCTACAGTCCGTTCGGCTGTTGTGTCTCTAGATTCTGGGTATTACCCCTTAGGTTTGTGTTGGAACTAAACTTATTTGGTGTTGAAGGAAATGTTCAGAAGTGTCAAGGATACTATATGTCATCACAAGGTCACCTATAGGACCCCTATACTCTAATGGGTGAAGGTTTGGTGAATGGAGGCACTCTTCGTAAGGCTTGGCAACCAAGTTTTGGAAATTTGCCAGTCTACTTCGAGACCAATTAGAGTAAAACTAGAATTATCATTTCCGAAGTATCTATACTCATTATTCGATGATTTGTTTTTTCATTGACTTTTTCGAGTCGCTGCAAAATTTAATCCTTTAGTTTGAGTTTCTTTTTGGGAAGACAGGAGGCTGAGTGGCATGTGTTAGTCCAAGCAATAGTAGTCTTTCAGTTGATCCAGCTTTTTTGATAGCGTTAACAAATGGAGCTTCAATCACGTGTTGACGTCGTAGCGGTAATATACCTCAAAAATAAATAGTTCTGTCAGTCTTCGACATTGATATTGACCTCATTAGTTTTACTGAACACACCTAAGTGAATGCTCTTGTTCACTCATTTGCATGAGATCACGATTTGGTATACCATGCTACGCATCCCTTGAAATCACCAGCCAGCCTGAACCAAACGCTTCACGACATATCGCGAGCCTTCCGAGTATAGCTTCGAACCTCTTCATTCTTGACTTCTGATTTGACTTGGTTGGTTGATTTCGATCTCTAGCCCAAATGTGTACTTTAGAAGCGATAAAAATAGTATTGCTTACTGACTTGACACGATGAAACGGTAAAGGCAACAACGTGACTCCCATGTAAGACCTGATAGATTAAAAAGCCACATCATCACAAATCTGCAATTTCACGATTAGACCAACTATTATAGTAATAAAGAAAAATGTACTAATATCTAATTAGACCGTAACTCTTCAGGCATACTTTGATTTTAAAGGTGTTACGTATAAATACGTTGTCAAACGCCGAATACTTGTGACATCCTTAAGTTGACAAATTCGATTTTTTTGATTATTCAGTCGGAGAGTCGATAGTCAACTGACAAGTAATTGTTCCTATGCTCGTGATTTTCTTTAGGGTTTTCGTGTAAGTTCTCTGCATTAGAAGGCATGAAAAATAAGGAAATAACAAATGTAAATTTATCACCACGTAATTTAAATATTATGATCAAGTCACATCTGGTCATCTTCATGACAATAGAAATGGGTTTTGTTTAGCCAACCGAGCATCATGCGGGAGATTTGCTGTTCCGGGGATTGGTTCATTTACAGTACTTTGAATCTTGTCTAACAGTTCTCTGTCTCCTTTAGAACTGCGACGAACGAATACTGTGTAAAGGCCTTACATACTGGCCGTAGGGTTCTAAAACCTTTTGAGGCTATCACATGGTAGTATACGGAAGTTTCATGGTCTTAGTTAACGATGACTCCTAAGTCGTTATGTATCTGGATATGGAGTAGCACAATTATTTCCATTGTGTATCTTTACGTACCTTAGAACCATTTATCGATAACTTTCATATTTAAGACCGCTCAGAAAGTATCCTTATATCACTTTAAAGTTCTAATATATAAACTTTATATTTTACTGATCTCTATATATCCGCTTTGTCAGCAAACAGCTAGACTGATGACGATAATAGACTAAAAGGGTCATTTACACAATGGGGTAGCAACACTCAGCGAAACTGTGCCTTGAGGTACTCCACTAAGCACAGTTTACCCACTAAGCAACTTTGAGTCCACTCTCACTATATGTTGGCGCTAAAATAAGAGGTCATTTGCCCACATTAAAAAATTGTCAGCCAACGCGAAAGTCAGAATTTTCAACAGTACCTTAACAACACTCCTAAGATACGAACCTGAAAGTTTGACACATACCACAGCCATCATTTTAGAAGTAAATACATTTATGATAAGGTGACGACTCAGCATACTGTGGACTCAGCGGTCAGACACTTACAGCAACCGATGACTCTGCAATGGAATAAACCATTTCACAGTTGAAGAGTTAAATACGAAAAGCAGTGGCATTTGGATAAAACATACTTCACTAGACCGTGGCATAAGGCAGGTCCTAACTTGAATTTTTCAAGTCAAAGTGAAACGAGACAGACAAAAATGCAAATGTCTTCGATTCAGATTTCAAATAGTCAGTATTACACTGGAACAATGAAAAAGGAGGTCTGATAACAGAGTTGATAGAAGATTAATTGTCGATGTTCTGCGGGGGGTAAGAGGTGTATGCAGATATGAATTAAAGCTGTTAAAACTTGAAAAATCACAGTAACAGAAAGCTTTCCAAACCTTGACACAGGTTGTCTCAGTCAGCTGTTTTATAAAAAGTCAATATCATGGTTCAGTGATATTCCTAATCTCAGTAACCGAATGTGGAACATAACGGACATTACAGGCAACATTCATTCAGCTGTGTTTGTCTCATCCCGATCACAGTTAACTGAACTCTTTATCCATCACAAGGAGAGTTGTGTTACACACTTCTACAGAGATTGTAATGTTAGATCACCATATAACTTGAGTTAAGTGTAGTGTTTGAATTCACTAATGAAACCTTTGTACCTGTTGAATGCTTGATTTCGAATTCTAAAAACAATACATTCGTTTGTGCTCACCTAGTATTTCTTGATTCAATTGCGTTATTTCTGGGATTCTTAGTTCATTCTACAGTTCAAATAATTCGAAACATTACAGTTAAGATAACGGGAACAGGTTGAGTTGTCGCAGTTTGTCCTCATCAGATAGGCTAGAGCTACACTTTGCCATTTTGGCCCCTAACCATCGAAGTCACTCTAGCATATCCGCCTCATACTTGAAGCAAGAACATTTCGTGCCTTAAAATAACCCTCGTGCTATTGATAGAAGAAACCAGACTAGTAGTGAATAGGTCTTTATTTAGATCTTCGCGCAGTCACAGTGGAGCGTGGGATTACCTGTTCAGACAAACAAAGTCTCTCGACATTCCACATAAGATAATAGGAAATATAACGCCTATACAAAATAAGGGAATGAATGAATACTTGAACTCTACTGTTTTGACATATGTTTAGTTGTTTGAGGTGAACTCTTAACCAACCAACTTAAGTTGTTACAAGTGCATTGCCTTACATCCAGCAATCAACTTGGTTCTAGGAAAAACTTATAATGTCTTATTGGTCTGTCGATTGAACAAAATGGATCTAGGAGTCACAACAAGCAAAAGCATCACAACTACTTGTAACTACAAGGTTGGTTGTCGCTGCCAAATGCTTCAGGGTCTTACGGGCTTTTCATAAGTCATTTCATTACTTGGACGAAATATCTGGTGTGTCATTCTTGACTTTTTTGAGACCGAATTTGGAATATGAAATTCAAGTAGAGAGTTCTTGCTTCAAGAATGAGGCGGATATGCTAGAGCGACTTCGACGGTTAGGGGCCAAAACGGCAAAATGTATCTCTAGCCTATCATATGAGGTCAGACCGAGACAACTCAACCTATTCCCGTTATCTTAACTCAGGTTATGTAGTGATCTAATTCTGGCATACTATACACTGAACGATAATCGTGACATTATTATGTCTTATCTTTTCCCTCCTTTAGGACTGATTATTCGAGAGGACATTCTAAGAAAGTCCAACAACCGAGATTAAGTCGTTCACGTCTTAAGTCTCCAATGAAATTCTGTACCAGAACATGTAGTATTAGAAACTGCTGTCAATACATTCTAATTGAAGTCGGACCTTTACAGTACTACGAATTGTAAGGAGTAATATAGGTCGGACGAACTCTTAACCTTACTACTGAAAACTGGAAATAACGTCAGTGGGTAAAAGTACTACAGATTCTTGAGCTGTAAAACTTTTGAGTTTACAAACCACGCAAAGTCTACGGAGTCAGAACAAGTAGGTATGAACATCTAAACCCTAATACTATCAAGAAACCAATGTAAGCAATTTTCACGCCACCGGTGTTACATTCAGTCTACTAGGCAACCCTTCATATGTTGTCAGGAAAAACCACAGTGGACCGAAAAAATCCGAATAAAACACACTGTCTAAACTTACTTGACTGACAAGAATACCCGAAGATGTCGTTTGCTTAGTGACAAGGTGGTTTCCAAGCATCTTCGACACTATGAGCGCCATTTCATTTGGATCCTGCGTAAGATGGACACCACCCTTAAACCCATCACGAAAAACACCCATTCCTCTACCACCTGCCGGTATCTGGGCTTTTATAACATATTCTTTGACCTGTAAGTATGTTATTTACAACATATAACAATCTACTCTGAAATTGTTTTTCGCCGTATCAACTTCACTAGGGTTTCTGACAAGCACGAACCTTTGCACGTTAATCCCATGATCTGACATCAACTTTTTGCACTGATATTCTTGAAGGTTTATAAAACGTTTCCATATTTTATTGACAAGGACACCACTGGAAAACACAGTTCCCAGTTTATTCATATTACGCACTGGTTGTGACCTTCAGCGTTCAATGTTTGAAATAGACTCAAAATGGTTCAAATGGTTGATGCGGTTGTCGACGGAATAGAAGAAACTTTCGCTTAACGAACTCCCATGTTTAATAGCAGTGGATCATCAATATCTTAAGGCAGCAACCTAGATATATTAACGATAACAGAGAAAAATTAATTTATAAATCATAGTAAGATATTACCCTTGGTCCTTAAGAATAGGCCAAGTTTCCTCTTAAAAGACTCCTGAGAAGTCGCCTGAACTGGCCTAGCCGGCAGTGAGCTCCAGTATTTGACAACTCTTAGAGATTAGACGTCGTGTCTACAGTCCGTTCGGCTGTTGTGTCTCTAGATTCTGGGTATTACCCCTTAGGTTTGTGTTGGAACTAAACTTATTTGGTGTTGAAGGAAATGTTCAGAAGTGTCAAGGATACTATATGTCATCACAAGGTCACCTATAGGACCCCTATACTCTAATGGGTGAAGGTTTGGTGAATGGAGGCACTCTTCGTAAGGCTTGGCAACCAAGTTTTGCAAATTTGCCAGTCTACTTCGAGACCAATTAGAGTAAAACTAGAATTATCATTTCCGAAGTATCTATACTCATTATTCGATGATTTGTTTTTTCATTGACTTTTTCGAGTCGCTGCAAAATTTAATCCTTTAGTTTGAGTTTCTTTTTGGGAAGACAGGAGGCTGAGTGGCATGTGTTAGTCCAAGCAATAGTAGTCTTTCAGTTGATCCAGCTTTTTTGATAGCGTTAACAAATGGAGCTTCAATCACGTGTTGACGTCGTAGCGGTAATATACCTCAAAAATAAATAGTTCTGTCAGTCTTCGACATTGATATTGACCTCATTAGTTTTACTGAACACACCTAAGTGAATGCTCTTGTTCACTCATTTGCATGAGATCACGATTTGGTATACCATGCTACGCATCCCTTGAAATCACCAGCCAGCCTGAACCAAACGCTTCACGACATATCGCGAGCCTTCCGAGTATAGCTTCGAACCTCTTCATTCTTGACTTCTGATTTGACTTGGTTGGTTGATTTCGATCTCTAGCCCAAATGTGTACTTTAGAAGCGATAAAAATAGTATTGCTTACTGACTTGACACGATGAAACGGTAAAGGCAACAACGTGACTCCCATGTAAGACCTGATAGATTAAAAAGCCACATCATCACAAATCTGCAATTTCACGATTAGACCAACTATTATAGTAATAAAGAAAAATGTACTAATATCTAATTAGACCGTAACTCTTCAGGCATACTTTGATTTTAAAGGTGTTACGTATAAATACGTTGTCAAACGCCGAATACTTGTGACATCCTTAAGTTGACAAATTCGATTTTTTTGATTATTCAGTCGGAGAGTCGATAGTCAACTGACAAGTAATTGTTCCTATGCTCGTGATTTTCTTTAGGGTTTTCGTGTAAGTTCTCTGCATTAGAAGGCATGAAAAATAAGGAAATAACAAATGTAAATTTATCACCACGTAATTTAAATATTATGATCAAGTCACATCTGGTCATCTTCATGACAATAGAAATGGGTTTTGTTTAGCCAACCGAGCATCATGCGGGAGATTTGCTGTTCCGGGGATTGGTTCATTTACAGTACTTTGAATCTTGTCTAACAGTTCTCTGTCTCCTTTAGAACTGCGACGAACGAATACTGTGTAAAGGCCTTACATACTGGCCGTAGGGTTCTAAAACCTTTTGAGGCTATCACATGGTAGTATACGGAAGTTTCATGGTCTTAGTTAACGATGACTCCTAAGTCGTTATGTATCTGGATATGGAGTAACACAATTATTTCCATTGTGTATCTTTACGTACCTTAGAACCATTTATCGATAACTTTCATATTTAAGACCGCTCAGAAAGTATCCTTATATCACTTTAAAGTTCTAATATATAAACTTTATATTTTACTGATCTCTATATATCCGCTTTGTCAGCAAACAGCTAGACTGATGACGATAATAGACTAAAAGGGTCATTTACACAATGGGGTAGCAACACTCAGCGAAACTGTGCCTTGAGGTACTCCACTAAGCACAGTTTACCCACTAAGCAACTTTGAGTCCACTCTCACTATATGTTGGCGCTAAAATAAGAGGTCATTTGCCCACATTAAAAAATTGTCAGCCAACGCGAAAGTCAGAATTTTCAACAGTACCTTAACAACACTCCTAAGATACGAACCTGAAAGTTTGACACATACCACAGCCATCATTTTAGAAGTAAATACATTTATGATAAGGTGACGACTCAGCATACTGTGGACTCAGCGGTCAGACACTTACAGCAACCGATGACTCTGCAATGGAATAAACCATTTCACAGTTGAAGAGTTAAATACGAAAAGCAGTGGCATTTGGATAAAACATACTTCACTAGACCGTGGCATAAGGCAGGTCCTAACTTGAATTTTTCAAGTCAAAGTGAAACGAGACAGACAAAAATGCAAATGTCTTCGATTCAGATTTCAAATAGTCAGTATTACACTGGAACAATGAAAAAGGAGGTCTGATAACAGAGTTGATAGAAGATTAATTGTCGATGTTCTGCGGGGGGTAAGAGGTGTATGCAGATATGAATTAAAGCTGTTAAAACTTGAAAAATCACAGTAACAGAAAGCTTTCCAAACCTTGACACAGGTTGTCTCAGTCAGCTGTTTTATAAAAAGTCAATATCATGGTTCAGTGATATTCCTAATCTCAGTAACCGAATGTGGAACATAACGGACATTACAGGCAACATTCATTCAGCTGTGTTTGTCTCATCCCGATCACAGTTAACTGAACTCTTTATCCATCACAAGGAGAGTTGTGTTACACACTTCTACAGAGATTGTAATGTTAGATCACCATATAACTTGAGTTAAGTGTAGTGTTTGAATTCACTAATGAAACCTTTGTACCTGTTGAATGCTTGATTTCGAATTCTAAAAACAATACATTCGTTTGTGCTCACCTAGTATTTCTTGATTCAATTGCGTTATTTCTGGGATTCTTAGTTCATTCTACAGTTCAAATAATTCGAAACATTACAGTTAAGATAACGGGAACAGGTTGAGTTGTCGCAGTTTGTCCTCATCAGATAGGCTAGAGCTACACTTTGCCATTTTGGCCCCTAACCATCGAAGTCACTCTAGCATATCCGCCTCATACTTGAAGCAAGAACATTTCGTGCCTTAAAATAACCCTCGTGCTATTGATAGAAGAAACCAGACTAGTAGTGAATAGGTCTTTATTTAGATCTTCGCGCAGTCACAGTGGAGCGTGGGATTACCTGTTCAGACAAACAAAGTCTCTCGACATTCCACATAAGATAATAGGAAATATAACGCCTATACAAAATAAGGGAATGAATGAATACTTGAACTCTACTGTTTTGACATATGCTTAGTTGTTTGAGGTGAACTCTTAACCAACCAACTTAAGTTGTTACAAGTGCATTGCCTTAGGGGGACACACTCGGAGCCCTCGACCTATGAGTCTGATCCACAAGGCAGTAGAGCAACGTCAGGAGATGCGGTCCCATGGTAGCCACTGCCCAACGATTGGTTCGTGTGCCATTTGTTCCCTCAGGATACTGAAGCCCATATACACCATCGGTTTGGAATAAGGGTTTTTCAACTCCCCTAGGTGGATTCTCCATATCCACTAACCAGATTAAGACGTTGGACATTCGCTTTTCGTCCTATCAATTTCGTAAACAATACCCCCGCCGCAAGAAGGCGGTGAATAGGACTTCCCTGGCAGTGGTTGTATGCACGCGGCCGTATGAGAGCATTTAGAGAGGCAGAGCCAACTCTCCCTACTCTCGGCCGTACCAAGGTATTTGAGGGCTATAATGCAATAAATAAAGCATTACTTAGCAACAATCGACATGATAGTCCAGACAATAAAGTTGACAAGCTCATAGAAAAATTATACCGGTAGCTATATAAAAATACATGAAAGTGTTTAGTGCCTTTACGTAACTCTCGTGCTATTGATAGAAGAAACCAGACTAGTAGTGAATAGGTCTTTATTTAGATCTTCGCGCAGTCACAGTGGAGCGTGGGATTACCTGTTCAGACAAACAAAGTCTCTCGACATTCCACATAAGATAATAGGAAATATAACGCCTATACAAAATAAGGGAATGAATAAATACTTGAACTCTACTGTTTTGACATATGCTTAGTTGTTTGAGGTGAACTCTTAACCAATCAACCTAAGCTGTTACATTAGCTTCTCCCTAGAATCCACTTCTGTAGGAACTTCAGTTCGATTAACCTATCTATCAAAAACACCTTAGTTCTGTTTTCTCAGCCCAAAGTAAAATAATCAATTCGCTCGCTGTTTAACTTACAATCAATGACGACTAACTCCGTCAGCAATCAACGATAGTCCATGGATGTCTCTACATTTGCTAGCTTTTCATCGTATTTTGTAGCATGTTATTTATTCTACAACTATCGTTGATGGTTTGCTACGTACTCTTAAGAGAAAAAGTGTGAGAATGTGGAACAAGAATATCTGAGGAAGTTCCGTAAGTGAGCTAACCAACACCATGTTTGTGAGGTACGATTTTTCCATGCTCTGTCCGACTATCAGGTGTTTACTCACCTGACTCTTGAGTCACCCTCAAGTAAAAAATAAAGAAGTATCTACTTCAGAGGTAATGATGAAAACCAATCAAACCTGAAGAACTGCTCCACTGTCTGCATAAAATAATAAAATACAAAGTGGAAATACACAAATATAATTGATTATTGTTCGGTTCCACGTAAGTGATTGGTCTCCAGAACGGATTCATAGTCTGGAAGGAAATGGACATATTGTAGACATTTTGTGTACGAAAAAGCATGAAAACAAAAAATACTCTGGTAGAATACATATATGTAAATGATTGAAATTGCCAGAAGTTGAACTCTTTATCAAACCAGATCAGATGCATGACCTTGAGTCTATGATGACCACCTTTTA